ATTTATTCCCCACAATAATCCCAGAAGGCAGCTGGAATTTTCCCCTCCCATGTAATAGATAAGTAAAGACTACAAGAGAGTGTAATTGTTTGTCCAAGCACAAATAGCTAATAAGGCACAAAGTTGGGATGAGGGGGAGTGCTCCTCTCTTTCAAGGAAAGAGTGAGTTTAGTGAAAGGAATCAGCCTTGGATGACTCTAATGTGCTTGAGGACACCCCCAGAATACTTGGCAATGACACCGTCAGAGCACCCCAAATCTTTGGGCTGTGGATCATTATTCCCACACCACTGTCATTACCAATTCCTAAGCATCCGACGCATTCACACAGAGGTTTGCTGCTAGAAGAACAAACAGACCTGGGTTCAAGGACCAGCTCTGCCTCTTCCCTGGCTGGGATGATGGGGCAATCAGTAATTTCTGGGTCTTAGTTTATTATGGATTAAATGGCAGTAATATCTTCTCATATTGTCTCATTGCCAAATGTATCAAATGTGACCTGTGAGCACTCTACTCATTGTGTTTGCTCAAAATAAATTTGTCGAATTGTATGATAAACATGAAGGTGTTTTACAAAGCCTTATGAAAATGCAAGGTATTATTGTTACTTCTTTTTAAATTGTTTTCAACAAATAATTACCTAAGGGACTTCCACATTTCTATTTACTCCCAAGCTGTTTTCTTCAGCCTGAATGTGCTGACACAACCAGAAAAACAAATAGAGAAAAGGTCGAATCAAACCAAATCTGTTTACGGGAAGTTAAACTTCTACAGAAGGATTAAAGGTCTGCACCACATCAGCACAAATATTATCTGTCTGTTAATCATAAAACAGAGTCAGAGGCCAATGTTCATCACGGGGCGATGGGAGGCCAGCAGGAGTGGGTAACGATAGAGAATGATTTCTATGCCCCAAAGCCTCTGCTCCCTGAGGCCTCAAGTCAACATTTTTTTTAAGTGTGACTGGAAGTTGTTTATGTTATACTATTAAGTGAAAAGATTGAGTTGCAGAGAAGAATGCAGTGTATAATATCATTCTTTTTTAATTTAAAAAAAGTGTTATATGCACATACTGTTTGTACATCTATATAAGCAGAGAATAACCACCCTGGGGTTACTGCTGGGGAATAAGATGGGGTGAAGTTACTCTCACATTTCACTTTTTAAATTTTATTTTATTTTATTTTATTTTATTTTATTTTATTTTATTTTATTTTTGATAGAGGGGAAGGGAGGGAGAAAAAGAGGAAGAGAAACATCATTGTGAGAGAGAAACATCTCATATGCACCGCAGCTGGGGACCAAACCTGCAACCCAGGCATGTGCTCTGACCAGGAATCGAACCGGGTGAACTTTTGCTTTGTGAGACAATGCCCAACCCACTGAGCCACACCATTTGATTTCTTAATAAACAAGTTTATATATTATCTAATTTATTATACATAATATACTAACAGGTAATATATGTACAGATCTATGAGAAGGTTGTGAGTATGCACATACATGAATAGAAGGTAACCACAGAAACACAGAGCTACAAGCAATCTCAGAGTGATCTCTACCAACCCTGCCACCTTTAGAAATGAGGAAACAGAGGCCCAGGAAGAATATGTTTGACGCCTCTTCTACGTTGTGATGTTCTATGATTACAAATCACATCCTATTGGTTTATGACTTGGAATCCTATTTCCAGTCCTTCTTTAGCAAAATAACAGATGGAACCCTATAGTGTGGTCCCTCCTATGAGAAGGTAATAATTTGTAAAATATGAATATTCAACTTCTGGAGACATGTAAGGTGGTAGAGTCCATTTGCTTCTCCACGTGCAAGGCCGGTGGATTTTCAAGAAGACAGACACGAAAAGCTTCTTCATCAAAAGGCTTATTCATTGAAAGCCTATGACCGCCAGGCACCGTGAGCAGCACTTTTATGTATGAATGCAGGAAGATGCTCACAGCCTTGCTTCCCATCCCCATGCCACAGTGGCAAGTACAGTGAGATGTTCCAGCCTGATCCCCGGTGCCTCTGAACGCATGTGCAGCAGCCCAGAAGGAGAGTGCTGCTCTTTCCTCTAAACTGGCAAGTGAGTCAAAGGAACTGCTTACAACTGCACTGCATTCCCTGGCCCCACACGCACCGCGGGTCCAGCCTGGGCCTCAGTCTTCCCCAGGTACACCCCTGGCTAAAACAATGATGATGGCAGCTGGGCCTGAGCCCCTGCTGGGTCCCAACCAGCTAATGGAGCCCTAAGTAACTATTTAAAGTCAAGCTTATTTTAAAAGGCAGTACATCTCCACAATATGCTGCTTTTCAGAGAGTGAAACAAATGCACCAAAATAGACCAGCAGCTTTTGACTCCAGTTTAAGCCGCAGTGTCTTTGAGGTATTTGGTGCCAGTAGGAAATGTTGTTATAGAAAGTATGAAACAAGTGGAAGGTTGGAGAATTTATAATCAAACGACAACTCTGCTCTGGGACATGTCCAAACCTGTTCCATTTCCTCATCCGAGTGATGGGTGAAAGCCAAGGGCAACCCATGTCAGCGTCCATTTCTGCAACAAGGAAACTTCAGTGCTAATACTAGTTGGTGTGGGAAGAGAATGAAGAAAGTGACAGGAGATAGATATGTAAATAAATCATCCAAATAAGCAGTAGTTATGGAAAGAGTAGAAATGAGCAGGAATCTCGAAAACTGAGTAGAACCTAACTAAAGGGGAGCACTCGAGTTGATTTTCCCAGGCCAAGACTCAGAAGAGCCCTCAGACACAGGTCACGCTGGTGACTAGCTGCAAACTTGAGCAGTTTGCTGCCAGGACAGGTATGAAGGAAAACAAGCATTTCAGCAGATTAGCACATTTTCAGCCACCGTCAGTTTTTTTTTCTGAAAACGAAAGCAAACAGACTTTTTCCTCGACAAGTGATCATTAACCCCTTACTCTCTGGTGCAATCCAAGTAGACAAAAGAAGTTCCTGTACTCACACTTTGGGATAGGAGCGTCCCCTGAGAGATCGGAAGCTGTGGGTGAGGCAGCAGCTGCCAAATAGGACGAATCTTTGGGAAGAGTCAGCTTTTATACACTTCTCATCAAAGTTTGTTTTGTGTGTGTGTGGGGTTTTTTTTTTTTTTAATTTACTTTTGCCCTCCCCTTTCCACGCTGGCCTGGTGGGGAGGTGTCTATCCAATACCTCTGATTGGCTCATAAACAGCCAATCCTTCTAATCATGCTCACATACTCACTGTATGCATAGAATGTTAAAGCTGCAAGGACTGTCTGGAGACCACGTAGTTCTAACTCCAGACTCTTTATTTTGCTGATTAGGAAATGGAGGCCACAGGGGTGTAGGGGGAATTCACCTAAGACGTGCTGCTAAGGAATGACTGAGCTCTCGAGTCCACAAAGGGAAACCGGGAAGAATGTTAGCTTAGCTCCTGCACTGAAAAAATACATGACCTTGGCCAAGGTTGTCTGCTTCTCTGACCCTTAATTTCCTCCTCTGTAAAGTGGAATTCCAACTTCACGAGAGTATTAAATAAGTTTGTAAAGTGCCTGCATACAATAGGCACTCACAGGTCCTCCCTCCAAACCCCATCTCAGTGCCCCCCAAAAACAAGCTGGGCCCCATGGTGTTTTTAATGCCAGAACCCACTGCCTTTACTTTATTTCTCATTCATTCTCAATCTGTACATTTTTGTCTTAAAGTTGGTAAAGACTAGACTAAAGCTCAAAGTGACTGATCTAAGCCATCATCTCCCCTAGCTATGGCACTATCTCGGTATAGGTTCATTCCACAGGTTTTCTCCTGAGCATTCCAGTAAAATCCAAACCAAGAGAAAGTAAATGTTGTAAAAGTATTGCATGCTTCCTGAGTCAAATAATGAATGAGGCAAATAAACATCATGGAGAAATCTAAAAATAATGAAATGACCATGATTACTGGAAAGTATAAATTCTCAGAAAGACATTCCCTTGGGATAACTCACCAAATTCAGAGAGTGTCAAAGTACTCAATAGCATTGCGTGTCACACTAGAATGTATGGGTGAACAAGTGCAATGTCCATGACATGAAGGAAAAAAGTAGCACAGAACTAGGTTACCTACATAGAGTTTAGGTTCAGAAAGCTCCTAAAAGTGGATAGTGTTAGACATTGAATGTAGTTATTAAAGGAAATTAAAATATTTGAAACATAAAAGCGAGGCTCATTTGTCTGGGGAAGTCTCGGCCAAGGCCCGTCCTAACTTCTGGAGACACGGGAGGCAGCAGAGAGTCCATTCGCCTCTCCGGCTGGACCAGGTGGAGGGCTAGGCCCGGTGAAGCTCCCTCCAGCACTCTGGACTCCTCTTGCCACCCAAAGGCACACTCTCCGGTTTTCCCATCTCCCCCTGGTGCTCAGTCAAGCACCTGGTGCTTGATTCATCAGGTCAAGATGATCCGATCTGGGGAGTTCCTTATCAGATTTTATTTTTGTCAGAGAAGAATGGGAGGAAGCAGAGGTGGGTGTTGATGGAAGAATGAAGAGTGGGGTCAGTGACGGTTGGTAGAGGTCAAGACTTGGGTGGCCGGAACAGTGAGTAAAACATTCCACCCACTGAAAGCTGCGTGGTAAAAATAATTTCACTTCTGCTGCTAGTACTAATTATTTTTGTTAAGACAATGACAACAATAACAATAATAATAACTAATGTTTTTGAGATTCTATGACACATCTAGTTCTTTTTATACATATCTCCAGTCTGAACCCTCTCTGAGATTACCCACTTTCTAGATAAGGAAACTCTGGTTCAGAGAAGGCAAGTGACTTGTCTGGAGTCCCAGGACAGGTGCACCTAGAGTCTGTGTCACTCTAAGCCAGTGGCCTAAAGCAGAGCTGATTAGCAATTTCCCTCTCCTCCTCCCAGCACTTTATAACCTTGGACATTAAACCTTCGTTAATCAGGGAAGAACAACTTGTGTTGGCAGACCTAGGTGGCCCCGGCCCTGCAGGCACCGTTTCACGTGAACAGCAGACTGGACAAGCACGTCAGAGGGGCATGAGTACACCTGCCCCGAGTGATGCTGCCGGCTGCTGTTCCCGTGGCATCAACATTTGCTCGCTTCCAGGGGCTGCTGGGTGAGTAAAACTCAAAGTTCAAGACAGCAAGGCTAAGGTTTACCAGACAGAGAAACGGCAACTTCTGAACAACACAGAGAGTTCGCAGGTTGTTTTCTTAAATCTCAAATTCATAAAATGTTCAAAATTGAGATATCATGGTATATGTAAAGACCATGGGACTTGGAAGCTGTGACATATTGGGGAATCCTCCAACCTCTTTTGTCCTCAGTTTCATCATCTTTTTTTTATACTCTTATTTTTTTAAGATTTTATTTATTTATTTTTAGAGAGGGAAGGGAGGGAGAAAGACAGAGAGAGAGAAACATCAATGTGCGGTTGCTGGGGGTCATGGCCTGCAACTCAGGCATGAACCCTGACTGGGAATCGAACCTGCGACACTGGTTCGCAGCCCGCGCTCAATCCACTGAGCTACACCAGCCAGGGCTAGTTTCGTCATCTTAAAGTGGGCTAGTAAATGGGCACCATCAGAAACTGATTATGAAGCATGAATGAAATAACATATGAGTAGGGGCTTAGCACACAGTAAGTTTTCATTAAATAGCTGGATTCTGATTTAGAAGCCTTCAATTGCAGATTCTTCTAATAGGCAATAATAATAAGATATTATTCACGGTCATTACTCTCAATAACTCCAGTAACTGCCTTGTTAATTCTTGTCTCCCTGCCCTACTCTAGATACTTCTGATTTGAATCCGATATCTACATAAGTCAAACAATAGGCCATAAGTTAAACATATCTATGCACAGTATGAGGTCTAAGTCCACAAACAAACTTGTATATGCAAATAAATCTCATGTATGATAGAGTTACACTCATTGTAAAATTAGTATTTTTATTTAGAAAAAACTTACCTAAAAAGGTTTCCACATCTAATCAGTGCAAGGAAGAAGCATGGTTAGGTCAATACGGCATTTAAAAATTGCCTCTCTAATCTGTTGTTTGGATACCTCCTTGCTGTATTGTAATTTGCTCTGGTGGTCAGGATGATTTCAGGACCCTGAAACTGGCAGTCAGTCTTTCGGTCACAGGGATAGGGCTAATGTAATTTCAGCACAGTTCACAGAATTTTTATTGAGGCGCTGTGTGTGAGGCAATTGGTTAGCTACGAAGGCATTTTATAGCGGATAGACTTTTGTGGAGAGTACAAGATGGGCAAGACTGCCGTGTCCACAACAGGCTTGTAATATAAGAAGTGGGAGGAGAGGGTTGAGGGCAGGAGCAAACCGAATCCAGTCATAGAAAGAGTGTGAGAATGCCCAGAGATTGTCAGCGTGGTGGTGGTGGTGGTGGTGATTACCCATGCCTCTGTGAAGGAACGTGAAAGAAATGTCTGGATATTCTGGACATTTGCATGGCCACCTCATGCTCCCTACCAATTGATTCACCCCATCAGACTGTGAGACCTATGCCGGGGGGTGGGGGGCAGTGATGCCTCACCACTGTCTCCCCAGCACCGAGCGGCATGGCTACAGGACAGTAGGCACCCAATCAATTTTTGTTGAATAAGTGAACCAATAAATATGTGGATGCATTTGTATCAATATCAGAAAAAAATCTGGAGTAACTGTCTTATAATTCTTATCCCTGAGAACTTGAGATATAACATGACCATTACCTCCTTCTAAAACTACACCGTGTTCAGAAAGCACATCTACTATCGTTCCCTTGAAATTTCACAGAAACCCAGGCTGCGGCTTCCCCGAAATGGTGCACACGGACCGCCGTGCCCCTTTGCCTTAAAAAAAATGTGCTAAAATACACATACAATTTACCATCTTAACCATTTAAAGGGTCTAGTTAGTAGTGGTCATGACATTCACATTATTGTTTAACCAATCTTCAGAACACCTTTTATCTTGCAAAACTGAAACTATATCCACTAAACAACTCATCATTCCCACCTCCACCTCCACCATCACCACCATCACCCTGGGAACCTCCATTCTACTTTCTGTCTCTGTGAATTTCACTACTCCAGGTAGCTCGTATAAGTAGAATCATACAATATGAGTCATTTCGTGGCTGACTTATTTCACTTGACGTAATGTCGTCAATGCTATGGCATGTGTCAGAACCTCCTCCCTTTTCAAGGCTGTATAATGTTGCATAGGCCACTGGACAGTTGGATTGCTTCCAACTTTTGCTTATTGTGAATAATGCTGCTTTAAATGTGTGTGACCACATATCTCTCTGATACCAGGCTTTCAATTCTTTTATGGCCCCTTTGTGAATATAACAGTTACAGTGTGATAGAATTCACATCCCATACAATTCAACTATCTAAAGTGTACAGTCCAGTGGTGTTTGGTACATTCACAGAGTTAAGAGTATCAAATGACAGTTTGTGAGAGAGATGTGGTACGGTTTTCAAAAATGCCAGAATTGGAGCATGTAAATAGTTGTTAAAGCACCAGAATGAAGACTGGGAGCAGAAGCCTTTGAGGTGCCTTTCATTTCCTCAGGGTGACATTTTTTTTAGACGCTCCTCATCACTAGGAAACGTGAACTCTGAGTATTCTAGAAACACGAGGGCAAATGTGTATATCCAAGTCTCTGGGGTAAGTAAATTTAAGAGCATTCAAATTCGAGGGCTGAGAGATACCTCCCCCTTGAGACTGAAAAGCAAAACAGAAGCTTGAACTGTGGTAAAGAACTTGCGGCGTTCCCTGTCTGAGGAACTGTGTCTGTGAGGGCAGCGTGCTGCAGAGGCAGAGTCCACGGGAGAGAACGGGCTCGGGATTCCAGATTTACTGAGTGACCAGTACTTTTCCAACAAGAAAGAGTTACTCTGTGGTCTGCGGTGACCACCCGTTTCCCACATTCCTTCAGTGAGGGTTGTTTACTGCCTCGTCAGTGTTTTCTCTTGCCTCTTGCTCAACCATCCTAAAGTTCAGTTGGTTATTTATGTCACCGATGACCCCTAGCTTATTTTTTTTAACTCCTCCTTTATCTCTTCGGTGAAACTGTTTGGCCTTTAGGTGGCAAGACATTGCGTGCTGTGGAAAGAGCCACCGGTGAGGAGGCACGAGGTCTGGGTGCTGGTCCCATCGTGCCCCTGATCAGCTGCGAAACTGAGGGGAGTCACCTCCCCCAGCCTCCCTTCCCTGATATGTGAAGTTGGCCTAGTCCTACCCCCGCTGTCTAACTTGACCATGTTGTCACAGAACGTTATCTTCTAGATCAGCGATTTTCGATCTGTGTGCTGCAAGGATTTTTGAAACATGTAAAACCTGACTATTTAGTCAGGGACACTGACCCCTTTCCCCTTAGACTGTCAAATAAAAAATTGACAACAGCCAATACAACTAGTCACCTGGTGTGAATGCCTTATCTTGAACCATAAACATAAATGGAGTTGCATCTTGTTGGTCAGGTCGCATAATATAGTTGCATCTGATTGGTTAATTCTTGGTACCAGAAATCCTAATACACAAGTATAGGCACCTGATTTTTTAAAAAGTCACTTTAGCACAAAAAAGTTCCAAATAGTAATTAATAATAGCAATAATAATTACTACTAATAGTAATAGTAATTACTATTATTAATTTTTTTGGTAAATCAATCAAAATTGGATCTACTTTTGGTCAGGTTAGGGATAAAAATTTTGGGGTGTGTCATAGAATTTTAATAATTAGTTTATGTGTGCCATGAGATGAAATAGGTTGAAAATCGCTGCTCTGAATAAGTGCTATGAAAAGTATAAAGCCCTATATAATTACAAATGTGACAAACCATGTTACTCACGGAAGCAGATGTTATACTTCTCCTGTGGCATGTGCATGTGCGTGCATACACACACTGAAAATCAGAAAGCAAGGTTCTGGCCCTACTCTACCCTGAATAGCTGAATGACATTGCCCATGAGAGGTCATTATCATCTATTGAACACTTACTTCTTACACGGCCTTTTCTAGGCACTTTACAAAGAACATTTCATTTAATCCCCACAAAGTCAGCAGGGTAGGTATTGTTTTTGAGAGGAGGGAGTTAATCCCATCTCTGCCTCAAGGTCGCACTATTAGTACATAGTAAGGCAAGGACTAAAAATATGGATCAGTGACTTGAAAATCATCCAGGACCCTTGAACTCATCATCTACACAGTGAAGGGTGAGGTCTCTTCTAGCCGTGATATTTTATGGTCTTTTCCTGCCCAAATTGCATGTTTTCAACATTCACAGTTACCATAGAACAAAAAGAATTACTTTAAACAATAATATAACAGCTCTGACCAGCATGGCTCAGTTGGTTGAGTGTCATCCCACAAAACAAAAGGTCACCAGTTTGATTCCCAGGCAGGGTACATGCCTAAGTTGCAGGCCAGTTCCCCCACTGGCACATGTGAGAGGCAACAGATTGATGTTTCTTTCTTATATCAACATTTCTCTCCCTCTCTTCCTCCCTCCCCTCCCCTCTCTCTAAAAGTAAATAAATAAAAGGTTTTGCAAAACCAGTAAGAACTTAGATTAGCTTATAACGTGTTTTCCAAAGGAAGAGCTGTTAAAATGGATTATTTATTGAGTCGAGTTCTTCAAAATATTGGCATGTCTAAGAGAAACTAGGTGGTTCTAACCCCTTAACTCTTATTCCCCTACTCTTCTTTGATTTTGCTTCATCTCATCTCAGTGCTCCTTAGGAACAGAGAGTGCTAGGAGGACCACATCCAGAATTACACTGTTCTAAAGGCTGGAAAAAAAAGACCCAGACACTGAGGGGCAGGTATTTGCCAGCATGTGTGGATGGTGGGCCAGCCCATTGCTTAGTGACCACCTCGGTGCCACCTACGTTGCCACAAAATGAAAAACAGGATCACTCGGCCTCCCAGGCTAACGAATCCTGTCACCTACAAACTCAACTTTCTGCCATTCTGAAGGTCTAACCATAAATTTTCTTGGTGAATCAATATAATTCAGTCATTAAGAACATGGACTTTTCCCAGGCTGGGCAACTCAGTTGGTTGGAGTATCATCCTGTACACCAAAACAGTGTGTGTTGGA